TACCAGGGGGCTAGAGGGGGTAGGAACTATCAATTTTGCGAACAGAGCATCGTTGGTGTCCCAATTGGGTGAGTGACTTCCGTAACCACTCTTTTTGAGTAGCTCTAGAACCCAGCCGTTGATATAATTACTTATATTATTATTCCATCCGTTCGTAAATGATTTTCTCATTTGACTTTTCACGGTCTCCAATTTATATTTTGACCATTAATATCTCCATTTATACATAGATATATTTTATGTAAATTTAATATATCAAAACTACGTTTCATAAGGAAACTATTGATATTATATTTATATCAAAATACAATGTATTTTTTCCATACATCAAGGTCAAAGTTTACAAACTTTGACCAATAAAAATCAAATGGAAAGATCATTTCAGATAGGAGGGAGTACTTTTTATGGAAATATCTTTTTTTGGAAGAAATGCATTATTACCTAGCCTTTTCATCAAAATACTAATAAAAATACTAAAATAAAAATGGTAAGAATATAAATAATTAAACAAAGATGAGTGCATTTTATGTACCATACATTATTATTACGTTTTCATTGAAATAGTAATAAAAAAAATAAAATAAAAATGGTAATAATTTTTTTTATTATACCACTTCCAATTTTGTAAAATTTTGGTACTAAACAGAAGTTTATATAAATAAATTATTTTATATTTTGTTTCCTTTTCGGAAACCGTTTACATATTTACGTTACATTATTACCTTTTATGGAAATATATTATTTTTGGATAAAATAATTATTACCTTTTCGTCGAAATAGTAATAAAAATAGTAAAATAAAAATGTTAAGAATATAAACAATTACACAAAGATGAGTGTGTTTGATGTACCATACAATAATAACAATAATAAATGTGTATGGTGCCATTAATTATGGTATATAGCAAAATAGACGCCATTAATAAAAAGTTTTCATTTGTTAAAGGACTAGGTTTGTTCTGATAAAATTATAAATAATAAAAAAAGAGACGTCATTAATTATAGTGTGTCCCAAAATTATACTTATTATTATGAAAGGGCTGACAAGGCTTATTGATACATTTCCCAAAAGAAGTCAAAGTATTGTTTAATAAAAAGTTTTCATTTCTTTAATAAAAAATTTTAGTTTTTATTAATAAGCTAAATTTATTATATCTTATTTTTGTTGAAAGAATACAAAAATACACGTGTATATCGTAATAATAATAAATGTAATAATAATAAGAATAATAAAAATAATAATAAACATGATAATAAGTGTAATAATAATGACAAACGTATAAGATAATTATACCTTATTTTGGTTGGAAAAATATAAAAAATATATATAAGTGTGAGATCATATATGGTAAGTGTTGAATTTAGAAATGGTAATTTGTCTACTATTTGGTGAATTAACAACGGTTTACTTGCACATGTTTATATGGTAATAATAATAATAATAATAATAATAATAATAATAATAATAATAAAATTATTATTATTCCGAAAGTTATAAAGTATAAAAAAAATTGACGCCATTAAATAGAAAAAAGGAACAAAAATTTTCATACTATAAATACGGTCATTTTTAATCACTTTCGTAATTAGCCTCTCTAATTATTTTATGTTTTTAAATAATATTCCTTTGTTTTTATGTGGTATATAAAGCTCTCCATTTTATTATTAGTTCGGCAAGAAAAATGGTAAAAAACCATTAAATATGAACAAAATTTGTGGCCAAAATTTTGATTTGACTTATTTATATTTTTAAAACTATACACATAAATTTAAGATTTAATTGCAGAAAGGATATTATTAGATAATTGGTGATGTGGTTGACATTGAGAATACCAACGATCTATGTTATCTTGGTTCGAGGTTTAAGTGCAAAAACTATGACAGAGATTATCCGGAAGGAGTGTATAGGCTAAATATTGTAATTCAATAATTTTTAATTACTTTGTACCTGAAAATAATAAAATCTATATATTCTTTTAGATATTAATTTGTATCTTTCAAAAATGGTCTTAATCTAATAACGTAAATATGACCCGTGCAACGCACGGGTGTGGTACTAGTCAACTTGGTATCAGATAGAAACTGTTAATTTTACTAATGAAATCGCGTAGGTGTTTCAAATCTCACTGACAGCATACTATCAACTGGGATCAGTGTCAACGGAACTCCTCCTATTTCAAAATACTCCCTTTAAGATACATGGATGGAATGGTGGGTCTTGGCTTTCTAGTTTCGGATCGTGATCGAGTTTTTGTTGATCTAAAAACAATTTGTCACGAAGGAAGCTATTGGGCACGAGGGGATAAAGTGCTTGCGGTTAAGGAGATTCTGAGCTGGGTCAAATATTAAGGAACATACATATAAGAAGTTTTTGTATTACTTTGTCTTATTCGTTTCGGGACCGATGCGATTTGGGATGGTTCCAGGTGTCTTGATTTAAACTTTTTATAAAATCCAAACATGAAATTTTATACTCAAAACATAAAACCAAGCGGTTCGGGGGTAAAATGAAAATCTTGAAAAACAATTTGAATGTTTTATAAAAACACTTCGATTGATCCTTAAATCAAAAGTTCATTTTATTTTTTTATAAAACACTTCGAATGTTTTATAAAAAGTTCATTTTATTTTTTTTATTACCTTTTTCAACATCCAACAGAAATATGTACTTAAAAGGGAAACAACATGAGACATTCCTTAAAAAAAAGAACACTCCACTTCATATTACGAGTATTTTAGGACAAACTAAACAATAGACCTATTTTATTTAGAAATAAACTGTATAAACAGTTCTTATAGAGTTTTTAGTCCTCAATTCTAATAAATTACTTATATTTATAATTTCCGATATTTGAAATTTATCCCAATTTATCCCATAATCAATTATTTTAGATTTTGACCCAAGTATTGATTCACGTATAGTCCTCAAAGAACATATCATATATAGAATGTATCTTGAATATCTAAAATAAAAATGTAATGCTTTTAAATAATAAATCCATACTTTATTTAAAAAGAGGTGAAATCAATATTACGTTTCCCCGCCCAAAGAGTATACCCATTACATATGGTAATTGTGAAGTAAAATGGTGATTAATAAAATGATACTAAGCACGCCATTAATGAAATCTAATTAATTACCGTGTCAAATTAATTATAGTAATCTTAATTATAGGAATTTTAATTAAAATTGTATATTACGTGCGAATACCGTGTCAAATTAATCATATTAATTTAATGTTAATTACCGTGTCAAATTAATCATAGTAATTTTAATTATAGTAATTTTAATTAAAATTGTATATTACGCTATTAATGAAATCTAATATTATGTGTGAATACATAATTGTATATTAATTATCGTGTTAAATTAATTATAGTAATTTTAATTATAGTAATTTTATAATAGTAATTTTAAATATAATAATTTAAATATAGTAATAGTAATTTTTTAGTATTTAAAGATGGTAAGAAATTAAAGTGTATGAACTTATAGTAATATAAAATGGACTATAACTACTGTAAGAATTAAACATCCTTTAAATAAATATATATTTACGTTTAATAGCAAGAAAGATAATAACCAAGAAAGGTAATAATTAACTATCATTTTTAAAGTGTTCGAAATTATACTAGGAAGAAAGGTACTAATAAAAAAAGGTAATAATTGACCACGGTATTAGTTATATGACCGTGTGACTACATAATTGTATATTAATTACTGTGTCAAATTAATTATAGTAATTTTATAATGGCCATATTTTACAATAACTATATTTTACTATATTTTAATTATAGTAATTTTAATAAAAAAAAGTAATAATTAACCAATGTATTAATTATATAATCGTGTGACTAGATAATTGTATACTCCGTATTAATTACCCTGTCATTTTAATTATAGTAACTTTAAATATAAAAAATTAAATAATTTAAATATAGTAATAGTAATTTAAATTCGTTATAGCACTTTGAAAAATGAATAATTTTTTTAACCCCGTATGCAAAAATCATATTATAAATACATCCATTTACAAAAGCTTTCATAGTCATTACATTCATCGTGAATTTTTTCTCCTACGTTTCAAAACTGTCATTCCTACAAAAAATAGGGATCTTAATTGTTTTGAAAAATGTTGATAAGAGGTCATCAATGTTAATGATGAAGCTACGAGCAATTAGGGTTTATCACAGGTTTTCGTAACAATAATCCAACATGTTTTAGTCATGGACAACTCTATGTTACAGTTTCAAGAGTAACTAATCGTAGTGGGTTGAAGATTCTGATATGCAATGAAGACAATATTTTCACAAACTGTACAAAAAATTTAGTCTATAAAGAAGTCTTAAAATGATACTACGTATAATCTCTATATTCTATCGCATCTCATTTTTTATCATCGAAAAATGATTTGAATTTAATAACATAAAAATGACCCGTGCAACGCACGGGTGCGATACTAGTTATATAGAAAAAAAATACTATCCCTCTATTCATATTTAAATCGCATGTTTTTTTTTGAGAACAAAAATCGCATGTTTCAGTTTGCGATATTTGACTAAGATTATTTTCAATATAATTTATTAGGGGATTAGAACAGAGCTAAAAAAAATAATCTTTATATATTAAAAAATTACATTAAAAGCTCTACATAATAAGACGTGATATGAATATATTATTTTATCAAATAACTAATAAAAATAAAAGAAAAAATAAATAAAATTTGATAATGTAAATAATAAACATATAATTTAATTTCAAATAAAAAAAGTATATTATAAGAGCCATTCATAAAATTTTATTTTAATATAAGGGCACCAGAGTTTCTTGAATCCTGATTGAAATAGTTTAAGTCTAATAATACTCCATAGGAGTTCACTCTTTGGTTCTCCTAGTGCGTGCCCGAGAATTCTGCAAAGAGAAAGTCTGTATATATATATATATATATTCTCCAGATCACAAATTTTTTCTTTTAAAGCTTTCAGATTTCACACTGTATTTATTATCTATTCAACAGATCAAATAATTTGAGGGAAAAAGAAAGAGAAGCTATAATGTTGAAGGAAGCCCGAACAACCCGCCATTAACGCCGATCAGTGTACCGAAGAAGAGAACTTTCACCGTTCATCGGATCCTTCTTGGCTCCGGGCCGAATTAGATCGGATCTAATTTCCTATATTTGAATTTCGCATTGCTACCCATTGGTAACTGTATACATCTACTTGTACTGATATGATTGACCTCGATTAATCTGGACGCCTCCCAATCAAGTGATAAAGATTCAATCTTTATGTGAAATTGATTTGTTTTGGAAATTCACAAACGTGAATTGCTTTCTTGGTTAATTGCCTGAGCTAGGGTTTCTTGGGAGAAGGGTGTTAGATCTCTAGCTGAGTTTTGGGGAAAAAATCAGGCATTTATTAATTATTTTGGGGTGTTTGTGGACGCAATTTGTGTTTTTAAGTGTGTATGAGGATTTGGCCCTGCTTGTGTTTCGGCAACGAAGAAGAAGAAGAGGTTAGGGCAAAAAGTAAAGGTATTCAAGAGGACATATCTGGGACTGAAAGTGAGAGAATGGAGAATGATGAATCTCAAAAATTTAGAATAAGGTTTCCGCGGGAAGGGCAGCTGGATGAAGGAGCAGAATTACAGTCAACAGCTGTTGTGGACAGTGCTTATCAAAACGAGGGGCTTCATGATATAGCATTTGGTAGCTGTCAGTTTGAGGCTGGGAATATGAGTTTGCAAAGTTATCATCATCTGGCTTCAAGTAGTAGTAGTAGTAGCGGGCCTAATACAATGGGTGTTAATTTAAATTTGAGCTTGAGTGAAGATCCTCCATCCTCGACAGCATTGAAGCAAGACAAATGTGATTCTCACAATAAAAGGCCCAAAGTTCAGTCCTTTTCACTGTAATTCCTCACTGCCTCTCTCTGTGTCAATTTTTATGTTACCCGTGATTACTTGTGCATGAATTTTGTCAAGTGTCCGTTTGGCATTAACACTAGGGATTAGCTTTAACATTTCAGAATGCTTTCTGAGGGTACCTTTTAGCCATAGCACAAAAATATTAATTTGCACCAATAGAAAAAGCATCAATCTAATACTAATTCAAACATGGTTCCTAAATGGGTTCTAAGTGTCACTCGTTTTTTAATACATATCATTAGTATGCTGTAGTTACCTTTTTTTTTTGGAAAGTTTGCTCGGAATAAATTGACCTATTGTTGGGCTGCTAACTATAATCCCGCCTTTCATTTTGGCAAGAAACAATCACATTTTTTAAAGTATTCACCCATAATGGACCCAAGTTGAACATGTTAGGTTCACAATAACATAATGCTGACGTGATTTTTAAATTATTTATTTGAGCCCACTTGTTGATTGTACAAAAAACTCCATTTTTCATCAGTCATTCCCTTTAAGGACAGTTGGGTGGCTTAAATTATTTCTCTCTCATCCGCATAAATCTCATCCACACTTTTTTATTAAATTGTGTGGCATTCAAAGTAGGGAGATCTTTTGGGGACGAAAGGAGTGAAGTTTTGATGCACAGTGCTGACTTAGGAAATAATTGACAGATGGTGTATTATTTTTTAAAAAATTTTGGAGTTCGATTTTGTGGCAATTGGAATTGGGTGAGAGTAATAGCTATTGTTTTTCATTTCCATGACATGAAAGGAGTATGTGATATTTCTTTTTCTCTTTTTAGAATCCATTTAACTCCACATACTTATTAACAAATAATAAAAAGACATGTCACCATCTTTGTTACTAGTAACCTGATGTAGTTAACTTGGGTGCATTATGTGCAAATATTTTTAAAGATAAGATGCTTTCTTATAAAAGTGAAATGCCGGATTATTATTAGAAACTTAACCAAAAGTCGGATTATTCTACCCAATAATTCCTTATTTTTTGCAACTGAGTTGTGGGAGTTGTTTTTCAATTTCATTGAAGTTGGGTGGTACTCTCCATGTGCGGTGTGATTGAATCCAGATGCCTCCATTTCATCAGTCATGACGAGGTTTATGAAAAGACAATTTTACCATCTCTAAGTGAAGCCTAGCTGTTAATTAGGAGTGTGACATTCCCAATGTATATCTAGTCTAGCTGTGCATTACATACACCTGATGGCCAAAAACGTATATTGTTTGTCTTTAATTCTAAAATATTTTGAATCAAATTTTAAAATTCTATTTTATAATGCAACCCAATAGATAGGCCAATCATGTTTTACATATTGCTTGACTTCTGCTTCCAGTTGTATTTGTTGATTGTCTTCATGCTATAATTGGTACATAGAAAGAAAGAGAACATGATCCAGCTATCATTCATGTTTATAATCTTAAATGGTGTTTCTTTTTGCAAGCATATCTGAACTGCAATCTATTACGGAGTAGTAAATAGTACTACTAGTAAATAAAAAATGAACCTTAGTTGAACAGGATCTGTTCTATAGGGTGGTACCTCCAAATCCTTTATTCTGAAGTAAATAAAAAATGAACCTTCAAACTCGGCATTCCGTTCTTATTTTTCCTTATTTTTTGTGGTGAATGTTAAGCTCTTGCAGGGATTGGGATAGTCACTTTTTGGAAGAGTTTTGTTATAGTTGTCCTGTCTATGATGGGAGTGATGAGAATCCATCCATGTTTGCTCTGGTTGATGACCAAAGAAAAGATGGCAGTCCAACAGAGGATTTAGAAGTTCAGATGGATCTTACTGATGACTTATTGCACTTGGTATACCCGTATATAAGTTATATAACAATAGTTACAATGGGCTTTAGTAGTTACTCTAAAAACTGCTTTTGGTTGATATCGATTTCATTATTTATGCTAATGAGTTTGAGAACAAACCTTCAATGTTATTGTAGGTCTTTTCATTCTTGGGCCACATTGATCTTTGTCGAGCTGCAAGGGTTTGCAGGCAATGGAGGGTATCCAGCTCTCATGAAGATTTTTGGCGTCACCTGGATTTTGGAAACAGGATCATATCTCTAGACCAACGTGAGTAGTTTTTTTCATAGTGCCGAGTTAGGCATTTGCCTCCTATAATGTCATAATGAGAAAAATGAGTTTTTAGTAGCTCCCATACCCATCAATATAGTATCTGTTCAATCTTATAATCTCAACCAGAAAAATGAGATTTTAGATAATGAAATATTGAACCCATAACTTTGTAATCCCTCCGTCCCAAAATGAATTGCACTCTTCGAACCACATGCACAACCCCGTATATTTTAAATATATGTAGTATTTAATTTTCAAATTGGAATAGAAATAAAAAATACAACTTACATATTATAAAACTACATTAAAAGTTATACAAGGCAAGAGGTGACAAGAATATTTTATCTTATCAAATGATCAATGACAATCCCCGTCAAAATATGACCCCCCTACACTGCAAAGTGCAAAGGCTGCGGTGAGCGGCTTAGTGAATGAAACATGATGGAGATGGATAATCATATTTCCATCCGTGGCCTCATCTCATTCAAAATAGCAGTCACTACTCATATGTTTCATACAATCACGAAGAACATGATTTTTTGGCGACAATAATGGTAGACTTGTTGTCACAGTATAGTCGTGGCTTGACAACAGTACAACACGAATTTGTAAGGCAAAGTAGGTAGCAAGAGATGCAATTTGGAATGAGAAAATAAAGAAGCCGGTAGCAATCATCTATGTCACTGGCTAGTCGCAGTATGAGTAGTGAGTACACATGCAATTGTAGGCCACTCTTTCAGAAAAATAATCCCAGATTGATGATACCTTGACTGCACCAGAGAATGCGAGGGTATTAGTGTTATCAATGGCGCAAATGGCGCGCGCCATAGATGCGCCTTTGGCGATTTGGATCGGAAATGCCACAAAGTGGCCTGTGGCGGTCGACTGACTTATGGCAACGCCAATTGTGCGCCATCGCCATTGTTGCGCCATATTTTTTATTTTACCCGACCCAAATCCAATAAATTAGGCCCAATAAAGAAATTAAACCTTTAATTAATACTTTAATAGTCCCCAATCGCTCAATTTTCCCAATCGACACGCAAAGTGAACCACCACACTCCTGAATCGTCTTCTTCTTCATCGTGTCTGGTCACAACTGGGAGAGATTTGCGACTCGCCATAGCCGATTCAAGAAAGAGGGGACTGCAAATATGCGATTGACGAAAGAGGGGAGTGCGACATTGGCAATTCACTTTTACGGAGTACTTCCTTTTTCTTTTTTGCTTAACACATTAGTATACTTCCTTTTTCTTTTTTGCTTAACACATTAGTATACTTCCTTTTTCTTTTTTTAACTCATACAAAGTATTGCTTATTATACTTGGTTGGTTATACTGCCAATGTTTTCAATGGTGATTCACTTTAATATATTTTTTCTTTATTTTTCTGCCATAAATTTTATTTTGGTATAAATTTTTTGCCATAGCTTTTTTTTTGTCATAAATTTTTTCCTCACAATCTTTTTATGCCTTAATTTTTTTTGCCTTAATTTTTTTCTAGCCTAGTACTTCTTGAAGAATGTCTGTCTCTCTGGCTTGGGAACACTGCACGAAGCTCAAACCAAACTCGATTAATGATTTGGTATGCAATTTTTGTGGTCGTATAAGCAATGGTGGGATTAGAAGATTCAAACAACATCTGATCAGAGGGCATCGTAACACAGTAGAATGTCCTAATATTCCGGAAGGGTTGAAGACAAGTCTCCGAGACTTGGTTTTGAAAGAGGCAGGATCGAGCATCAACTAATAATCCAATGGTTCAAGAAGTTGACGAAGATGCGATTTTACCATTATATATTCATATCTTAAATTTTGAGACTAAATTTTAAGTTTGAATTACTTCTGAGTTTTGCTTAAGTTGTTTTACTACTAGCACCTTGGATTGTTTTGGATTTGGAATAACTTCTTATTTGTGTTCCAACATGACTATTTAGATCAAGTACTCTACTGTTTTTTATTGAATTCATGTCTTATACCTATGTAAATCTTAGTTAATTATGTTGTGTGACTAGTGTCCTGTGGCGATGCCATATTTGCGCCATCGCCATCGCCATGTGATATTGGCCCATCGCCATGAATGTCGCCATGCGCCATGACAATTGACAACTATGGAGGGTATGAAAGTCATGCGAGTGGACTTGTGTATAGTATGAGCAATCCAATTGACAACATACTGAATTTTTGGGCGAGTGACAACTAAATATTATAGGACGTCAAAAATGTTGTGAAAATGAGTTCGGTTCTCAAAATGAATGTAGACACCACAAGCTACTGCCTCAGGAGTTGTTGGTTTGCACTCAAGTACACCATCACAATGCACGTGCAACAAGTGATTTCTTGCATATTTCATTTGATGGTGTAGATGCCCAAACTTGGTGTGACATACTTCAATAACATGAAGTAGTTCATATGGCCGATATTTCATTTGATGTCGTTCATACAGAAGTCCTGGTGGATGGCATCACAGATTAAATTAAGAGAACTATCAGGTATGATCATATTGTCAATAGAGGCGAGTATAATAACCATACCTCAAGGAGAGTGTAGAGTGAAGAGATTAGTATAACGAGTCCAAAAGATGAACCCGTATTGAAGAAAAGTGGAGAGTAATGTATCCACAAACAATGGGACCGATCAATATAGCCTAGTGATTGAGTCATATAAATATCATCCGCTAGATCCTACATAAATAGGCATTGGATAAATCCACTCAATGAAGATGTCGCTCATGATGCAGTGCAAGAGAGATCATAAGGTGCATCGTTCGTTGCCTCACAAATGGGTTGCAAGTCTCAAAATAGTCCTCTTCGTAATCTTAATGAAGGGTATTGGGTGAGAACTAATGGTAAGAGGGATTGATATAAGGTTCATACGGGAAACAATGAGCATGGTGCATTTTGGTAGAGGTTGGAATATTGAAATAAAACTTAGAAAATAGGAAGTCATAGAGACCTAATAGTGGAGTGCAAAGAGGGATAAAGGAATTGGTCTTTAACAAATTTAACGTGATGGGAGATACAAATATTATTATTTGTGGGATCAAAACACTGACGACCCTTTGTAGTGGTATAATAGCCAAGGAAGACACAAGGCCTCGATCGTGGTTGTAACTTGTGATTGATACGAGCACTAACCATGAGTAACAAAGACAGCTAAGACTTAGATGATTATAGGTAGGGGGTATGATGAAAGATTTCATATGGTGAGTTCTCATGCTAAATTTTGGTGGACATTTGATTGTTTAGGTAGTTAGTGGTGGTTAACGCCTCGACCTAGAATGTGACATAGAATGTGACAGGTAATTTGAGTTGGTGTAGTGTGACCATAGTTTTGATGAGGTGATAGTGTTTGCATTAGACCACCCCGTTTTGGTCTAAGGTATATGTGTTGGTGTAGGATGCTCAAATTTATGAGAAACTAACAGAAGCTCGAAGGTGGTGTTTAGAAATTTTTTGCCATTGACTTCAAAAATTTTATTTTTTGTAGCAAATTCAGTGTGAACAATCTTTTCGAAGTTGACAAGGGCTTATAAGCTTTAGATTTTCTTTCAAGAGGGTAAATCGGATCCAAGAGAAGTGACTAAAATCATCTACAAAACGTATATAATTACGATAGCCACCAAAACAAAGAATAGACATAGGATCCACAAATAAGTGTGAACAAACTCAGAAGATGCGGTAGTAGTATGTCCATATAAAGAAATGATGTCATTTTGTAGCAAAGCAAGAGTTAGAGCTAGTCATAATTTATTACATGGGAAAATGTAAAACCTAACTATAATTTCATAAAGAAGTATGTTTGTAGTAGAGGACGAGTGAAGCGTATATAATTATGATAACCACCAAAAGAAGGAATATGGGTAGGATCCACAAATTAAGGTGAATCAGCTCAAAGGCGCGGTAGTAGTATGTCTGACAATGTGATTTTGCAACAAAGCAAGAGTAAGAGCAAGTCATAATTTTATTACGTTGGAAAACATAAAATCGTACTAAAAGAAGTGTCTTCGTAGTAGATGACGGGTGAATAAGACGACCATGTTAAAGCTTGGGGAGTCTTGAACTAAAAAACACGTGTTGACTCAGAATCGACTAGAGACTTGGACACAAGGTTTGACTGAAGTTTTTTTTAAATTCATTTTATATGAGAATTAGTGTAGAATTAAAAAAAATAAAATTATATACTCCCTTCGTCACTAATTAATCGCCTCACTTTCCTTTGGGTAGTGATAGGCACACTCGCTAAAATACTGTCAACTAAGGGGCTGTTTGGCAACTTCTGAATGGGTAAGTGTTGAACCAGTAAGAGGTCTGAACCATTAAGTGCTGAACCAGTAAGAGGTCTGAACCATTAAGAGCTAGTATATTGCTTAACTATTCAGAGGCAAATGTCTGATCAATTCAGATAAGAGGTCTTAACCATTCAGACTCTGTATAATACTTAACCATTCAGAGGCAAATCTCTTAACCATTCAGACATCTGAACCATTAAGAGGCTGAAACAAACAGTCTGAACCATTAAGTGCTGAACCATTCAGACATCTGAACCATTAAGAGGCTGAAACAAACAGCCCCTAAATACACCTCGTGATGCAATTTTATTTTATTAATAAAAATTGATATAACCTTTATTAATCTAAAAAAACAACATTATATTTATATTTTGAAAACTACCCACCATTTACTTCATTTTATTACTCGGTACTTTTCAAAAAAATAAATTATACTTTTATTTTTTTAAAAATTGTCATCTCTTATTATCATTTATATTACTACAATTAATGGCCATTACTTTTGTATTAATTTTTCCATTTTTTGTATTATACAAATATGCATTTCATCATTTTACATTTTTATTCTACATAATTATTTTATTTTTTTTAAAAAAAAGGTTATATAAGCTTTATTATTTCAAAAACAACGCTTTATATAAAACTATAAAGCTACTCATGATTTTCTCTTTTATTACTTTTCAAAAAACAACATATATAAATCTTAATAAATGTACATCATTATAAAAATTGCAACTTTTATTTAAAAATAGATATCATATCTAATACGGAGTAACATAATTAAAAATGTTTGTAACATGCATATCATATGTTTACTAAAAAATAGTATAAATAAAATTATACTCTGTATTTTAATTCAAAATATAATTTTATTAAAATATTAAAAATTTTGGAATTCTATGAGGTCGTGCGGAGTACAAGATAAAAAAATATTTTAGAAAGTACTGGAGTGAGATTAGTGTGAGGGTGAGTTTAGTATTTTGGTGGGGTGTGACTATCACTAACCCTTTCCTTTCTAGTCAGTCCCAAAAAATTGCTCACTTCTTTACTTTTTTAATAAAGTAAAGAATATGTGGTCCATACTTTTTTTCTTTCTTCTAAACAAATTTCAACCACCCATTTTTTACTTTTCTACACTTTTCCTAAACTACGCAAAATCAAACTGAGACAAAAAATTTGGGACGGAGTGAGTATTTAAAAACTATATCATAAGTTCTACAAAACTAGAGGTGACATCACTAATTCACTATATTATTATATCAAATGAGCAACAAAAATAGGCAAATATTTTGGATAAAGTTTGACTATGTGAATATCAACGATGAGATAATTTGTGGACAGAGGGAGTAACTTTTTTCTTCCTCAGTGCTGCGAGTTCTATCTGAGTGTATATCCATGGTAGTTAAGAGCTATCATTGGAGGGCTTCCAATGATTTACAGATAGCGAACATTAATATCTTCATGATTCTGAATGTTTTCTGGACTATCTTGTTTGATATTTACAGTTGAAGACATGTGTCATCGCTATCCGAATGCCACTGCAGTGAATGTTTATGGTGCAGGCGCACATGCTATTCACTCAATTGCAATGAAAGCAGTTTATTCTTTAAGGTAATTGGCATTTAATTTTGGTATATAATGATATGCGTAATATAATATTCTGATCCGTGTAAATTTTGCCAGAAATCTTGAGGCTCTAACCTTGAGTAGAGGTCAAATTGGAGAAACATTTTTTCAAGCCCTAGCTGACTGCCATGTGTTGAAGACCTTAGCCATTACTGATTCCATTCTTGGGAATGGTATTCATGAAATACCTATTTACCATGATAGATTGTGTAGCCTTCAGCTTGTCAAGTGCCGAGTAGTCCGAGTTACTCTCAGGTTATATACATCTGATTAAGAACAAAGTTGAACTTGCAACAAATCCTTTTTATTATTTTATAAATTTATTGTGTTTTGTAGGTGTCCCCTGCTTGAGACTTTGTCCCTAAAACAGAGTACTATGCCACATGCTGTGATAACCTGCCCACTTTTACGTGTCCTTGATATAGCTTCATGTCAAAAGCTTTCAGATGCTGCAATTCGTTCAGCAGCAACCTCATGTTCACTCTTAGAATCCTTGGATATGTCAGGCTGTTTATGTGCTAGTGATGACACACTTCGTGAAATATCTACCACATGCCCGAATCTCTATGTCCTTGATGCTTCATACTGCCCAAACATCTCGCTCGAGGTCAGTTTTAATATCCATTTGTGCATGCCACCTGATGCCAAATTACTTTTCTCTTAATGTGTCATACCGAGGGATTATTGACACTTTGTTTTTGTAGTAAGTTTGGCTTCCATACTGACTTCCTCATTTTCCTTTGTAGTCTGTTAGGCTCAGATCAATAAAGGTGCTTAAGCTTCATGGTTGTGATGGAATTACATCAGCTTCAATGGCTGCAATAGCTTTCAGCTATACTTTAGAGGTATGCTGTTATAACCTGCTGTTATTTCATAAGTTAGGGTTGTAAACAAACCAGATCAAATAAAATATTGAGTGTTATTCTTTGTATTAGGAAATTTTGACAGCTATTTGAATAACTATTTGTATTCTAATTTTGATTCATTTCCTCTGAATACACATTAATGTTTTTCATAAGAATCACGAATCAAACCAAAATATTCACTTCTTTTACTCAAGTTATCTAATGGCTAGGTTACAGTTTATGAACTTACGATCTTAGTTTCAAAAATATTTTTATTTTAAAATTATTTTATTGTAAATGGCTATTTACAACTCACTTGAATCCCATAAGAGTAGGGTCTAGGAAGGGTGTGTGTACGCATACCTTACCCCTATTATTTATATAGTCACTATATATACTACATCTCTATATCTGTGTATGCAATATATTTATATTTATTATGCATTTATTTGTATGATTGTTTTTGAAAATATTTAAAAACTCACAGAATTGAAGAAATATGTATTTGTATTTGAAAATGTAATGAGTACTAATAACTTCTCCCTTAGTCCCATAACAAACTTTTAGGATGCTATAAAAAACTTCATACTTTATTTCCTTTTGAGGTATTGAACATGTGGCTCTCAAAACATCTCTCTCAGATAAACAATTTCAAACAACAACAACAACCTAGTAGAATCCCACTAAAAGTAGAGAGGCTGTTTCCAAGAGACCCAGCTCAAGTAGCACGACTAGAGGACAGATTACACAAAGGCATAAGATACCTAGGCAACTGGGAGAAGAATCACGTCAAGCCAGCACAACACACGACAACACGATCAAAGCTAGCACCCTAGACTAAACAACTACCCAACTACTCTAATCCTAGATCTCTAGACGTCCCTATCTAAGGCCATATCCTCGGTAAGAGCCAAGTGTCCTAAGTCCTTCGTAACCACATCCTCCCAATTCTTCCTAGGTCTACCCCAACCTCCAAACCCTTCAACTATCGAAAGCCTCTCTCATCTCCGCATTGGGGCCTCAGGTGCACACATTTTTACATGACGAAACCATCTCAACCTAACCTCTCGAAGCTTCCTCCACCGGTGCCGCTCCCACCCGTCTCTGAATAACGTCATTATGAATCCTATCCAACCTTGTTTGCCCACACATCCACTGTAGCATCCACATTTCTGCTGCATGTTGTTGACGAATGTGGACTTTCTTAACCAGCCAATATTCCGCACCATAAAGCATTGTCGGTCTGACCACGGGCTTATAAAACCTACCTTTCATCTTTTCTGAAATCTTTTTATCTCATAGAACTTTGACGCCAATTTCCACTTTGCCCATGCAGCTCCAATATGGTGATCAACATTCCCATCGATCTCTCCATCTGCCTGAATAACCGAACTAGGATATCACAATTTAACTCTCTTAGGCACTAGGTGTGAATCAATCTTAACTTCCACCTCTGTCACCCGACCACTAAAACCACATTCTAGGTACTCAGTCTTAGTCCTGCTCAATCTGAAACCCTTGGATTCTAGGAACTGACGCCACACCTCTAACTTGTCATCGAGCCCCTCACGCGTCTTGTCAATCAAAACAATATCGTCAGCATAAAGCATGCACCATGGAACCTCCTCCTGAATACCACGCGAGAGAACATCCATCACCACAGCAAAAAAGTAGGGTAGGGGCTAAGGGCAGACCCTTGGTGTAAGTGTGTAACCCAACCTTTACAGGGAACGAGTCAGAGTCACCCCCTACAGTCCTAACTCTAGTGCTTGCCCCAACATACATATCTCTAAATACCCGAATGTATGCAATTGGAACCCCTCTAGCCTCAAGACATCTACACAAGATCTCTCTTGGTACCCTGTCATGCGCCTTCTCGAGACCAATGAACACCATGTGAAGATCCTTCTTTTTAGCATTATACTCCTCCATCAACCTCCGCAGGAGATGGATAGCCTCTGTGGTCGAGCGGCCAGGCATAAAGCCAAATTGCTTCTCAGAAATACACACCACCTTTCGCAAACATAAACAATTTCCAACCCGTCACTTTTTAACACTTTCATTAAACTCTGTGAAAGTAAAATGAGAATTGTTTACGGGACGAAGGGAGTATTTGTATTCTGATTCTTAATCGTTTTTCTGAATAGGAACCATTGTTTTCGAATACTCATCACGAATAAATCAAAATTATTCCCTTCGTTTAAAACCCTATCATAAGTGTTCCAATAAGTAGTTTTGTTAAAAAATATGAACTTAAAATGTTAACAATTTGTTAAATTGGAATTTACTTAAATGTGCAGGTTCTGGAGCTTGATAACTGTAACTTATTAACATTATTGTCTTTGGATCTTCATCGGCTACAGAAAATAAGGATTGCACATTGCTGCAAGTATGATGCTTTCATGTTCCTGTTAGCCCTTAGGGCTATGTACATTCTTTGTTAAGCATTTAATCCTCAAATTTAGATACTGTTGTGGTGGCCCTAATCTATCTTTGCTACATCTCTTTTTCTCCAGACTTGCTGATTTTAACATACGAAGTGACATGCTATCATCAATAGCCATTTCTAGTTGTCCTTTGCTCCAGCGAATCAGCATCATAGCAAACTCTCTCAAGGTGCCTAGTATGCTAATGTTGCCTTTTACTCCCTCCTTCCATAATTTTTTTCCCGTTGCACATTATGATGTTTGACTGAAATTAATTTCAATTTATTTTATATGAAAATTGATGTGGAATTAAAAAATAAAAACTATATTTTTTAAAAAAACCAAAAGATCTACAAACTAAAGGTGACATGACTATATTATTTTATCAAATGGGAAACAAGAATAGGCAAATAAAGTGAATAAAGTTTGACCACGTGAATATTGAACAAGAAGAAAATTTGTGGACGGAGGGAGTATTTGAAATGTTAAAGAGAAATCCTGCAGAGTCATCAACATCTCGACCAATGATTCTTACTATTTGTATGCAGAAACTGGTGCTGCAAAAACAAGAATGCTTAACCACCTTAGCATTGCAATGTCCCAGTTTGCAAGAAGTAGACCTTACTGAGTGTGAATGTTTGACAAATTCTGTTTGTGAAGTTTTCAGAGATGATGGTGGCTGCCCTAAGCTAAAATCATTGGTTCTAGATAATTGTGAGGTTAGTAGTAACATTTCACTTCATTGCTCCAATAACTCTGGTTAGCATAATTGTAGGCCTTAAATCAATCAGGCCACCACCATCCATTTAGGTGGAGTAGCAAGGAAGAGAGCAATAAGAGTAGTGAATAACATAGTGTAGAATGAGCTATGACGTAAGATTCAAGATTCCTGAGGGTAGTGAAACATGATTTTACTACTTGAGTGAGCAAGAGTCAGTCTTCTCAAAAGCGCTAGGTGTCCCCTAGATAGTAGACTAGAGCCTAGTGCATGGGCGGGGATTAATTGATGCCGCATGCAACCTTGTTGAGAAAAGAAGTCCTTGACAATTGGTATTGGAGCCAATTTTACGCGAGGGTGATCCTTATCAATATTCAATATAATGAACCCATTAAATGTGTGAAGGCTCCTTCACCGCATTGGAAGGGACGACTTGAGATGCTCCCTGGCAAGCAATGCACGATCTGTAAAGAGATATTCGACTTAGAGTCTATAATGATTGATGGCACAAACACAACCAGTAAGTGCAATTCATCCAATTTGTGTGAGAAGTCATGCAAGTGCATGGCTAGCACAAGTGGAGGTAACCTTGGGCTGACTACGACGAATGTCTCAAAGCCTGAAAGTTCAAGGGACAACAAGGTGCTATGTACTGGATGAGGCAACCAAGGTGCAGTAAGCAGCTATGTACTTTGCAGATTTTTGCATTCCTTTGGTGGTGACGTAGGTATGCTGATAGAGGCATGTGAGATTGACACTTGGGCCGACTTCAAGCAAGAGTAGTAGATGCAATTCTACCTAGAGAACATGCTATACAAGGCACATAAGAAGCCATGAGATTTGAAGCACAAAAGAGCATTGGTTAATACTTTATATCACTTAAGCCTACTTGAGGGGGTTTGGTGGGTTTAGTAAGCATCAGCTTTTGAGTTCGAAACCATTTAAATTATTTACAAATAATATAAAAATTAGTAATATAATATTTTAAAAATTCATATCTAACAATAAGGTCGTAAAACCAACAAAAGTGTAGGTTCAAGCATGATATTATATTGGCAAGCCACCCACTAGATAATATAGACTCCCTGTTTGTGTCGATGCAATCCTCACCTCATCTACGATGTTCTGAGTTATTTTAACCTCTTCATCAGATACAGTAACTAAGCTCATATGTTAAACATAAGTTTTGACCAGGCACCTTTCTCATTTTTTCAATTCTGATATCATATTTTCTTCAAGTTTTATTGTTCTATTTTATTGTTGGTTGTTGCATGACCATTATGAAGTACAATATAACACTTATAACTGCCAAATGCCAATGAAAGCACATTGGTGTGTTTGTAAGAAAAGACACAATCTTGATTCCAATGATGGAAGGTTTGGGCGAGGCAAAGTTGACAGGCATTTAGGTTATCAAGGGAAATGGTGATAATGTGGGCTTATCAAGGCTCACATACTTGGGAACAATGAGTCTCGGTGAGGGTGCCTCCGAAATGGCGGGAGATGTGTTAAGAACAAAAGCACACACACACGAATAGAAAGCAAGAAAGCAATAGAGAACACGAGATTTAACGTGGTTCGGTCTAATCTGACCTACATCCACAGGGGCAACTAGGGTTTGTATTATTGAGTGATAATGATTACAAGTACAGGAGATCATATATATAGACAACTAATTAGGGTTTAACCCTTGCTGGACAAGTTATAGCAAACTGGGCTTAAAACCATTTGGGCCGGCCGAAACCCTAATCTGGTCTCCTAATTCTCAGTTGTCTATAAGTGGGCCACTTTGGGCCGATGACTACACATCACCAACAATCTCCCACTTGGAGTCTTTGGACCAAACTGCGGCTCCTCTCTGTACTTCTGTAAATGAAAAATCTTCCTTGATCTTCACATCTCCCTAGTTGCCCCTCTCCTCAACACTATTCCAGGAGACCAGCTGAAGCTATGCAGAGCTTCAGCTTATCCAGCACCACTGTCTTGGTGAACATATCTGCTGGATTCTTAGCACCTGAGATGTTCTTCAACTTGATTGTTCTATTACTGATCAATCCCCTCACAAAGTGATACCTCATCCCAATGTGCTTCGTCTTGCCATGATAAACTGGATTTTTAGCAAGTTTCACCGCACTCTCATTGTCACAGTACAATAAGTAATCAGACTGCTGT